CAGCTCTACCAACTGACCTAACCAGGCGCCCCCTGTTTATTCACTCTTACTTGAACTCTTAGAAAGTCCACTCCCCTCCAGTTCTCTCTGTATGCTCTACAGTCCTATATGCCTCTTCATTCAATTTAAAGTCAGTGATTGAATTAGTCTTAGGCCAGCAGGCTCAAGAAGAAATCCAAATGGAGTGATGCTTAAATAGAAGTGTTCTGAAATGTGTGTGTGTGTGTCACAGAGAGTCGGTCCTCCAGATGATGCAGGCTGGTCAGAGAGTGGTTGATAATCCCATTTACCTGAGCGACATGGGAGCAGCTCTGACAGGAGCAGAGTCACATGAACTACAAGATGTCCTGGAGGAGATCAATGTGAGTGGTCTGCATGCTTAAAGGCCTGTTTGGGACTGACTATCTACTGTGTGAGAGACAGTCCTGGGTGATTCCTGTATAAAAGTTCAGGGCAGTGGCCGGGTGTTGCTTCTTAATGGAGGTGGGGAAGTTAATCAGACATGCATTTGTCAAACCAACAAGTTTGTCCTGATCCTTGAAGTCTTTACTCTTAAACTGAGCCATTCTGTTCAGATAAAGCTGATGTATCAACTTTGGGTGGCTTGTCCGTGTTTGTAGGATTATTACTGCCCCATGATGCTAATAGGGAAGGACACACCCAGACTAACTACGGCTGGGCTCACCACTGTCATAAGGGGCAGCATTAAGCCCCTTTCACAATTTAAAAAAAACTGTGGCCTCATTAATAAAAGAGACTTAAGATCAAATTTTCACTTAAGAATGACCTAAAGCCACTACAGAAAACCATGTATAAGTAGTTTCGTTTGCCAATTTGGCATCCATATAATCCATGAAGATAAACTGTATTTCCGTTGCTCAACCTCCATAGGTTAGCTCCTTTTTTTTTGCTTTTCTTTGTATCTTTTAAATAAGGGTCTCCTCACATCCTGGAAAAGCTGGAAATTTAGAGACTAGTCCTCCAATCTCCAAAAAACACCAGGAATTTGATTAAAAATACCAAATATCCTGGAAATAATCCATGTTGACCTGGAAAATTGTGTTTTATCAAATAAGATGCGTGTTATGAAACGTCAAAGTAGGTTTGCCAGACGCAAAGCGGAACAGAAGAAAAAAACTGTTAATACCACTTGCAGCGAGCTTTTTGCTTTGGTCTATTTTGGAAATGCTGTAGACAGTGTTATAGGAAAATTTGGAGACAGCCAAGTATACCATGAAAGCAAGCTAATGTCCCATAAACACTGACCACCTACTGCTTACCACCAGTAGTGAGCAAGTGCTGTTCTGTATTGTCAAAAAAAGTCCCGGGAAATGTTTTCCTAAAAAGAGTGGACGTAAGCACGCCATCAGAAATCAGAATCAGAATAACTTTTTTTGGCCAGGTATTTGTGCACATACAAGGAATTTGACTCCGGTTTTACGTTGCTCTCAATTAACATACACAGACTAACAGCATAAATAAACAGAACAAGTTAAACAAAAAAGACATATATGTGCAGTTAAATACAGTTATACATATCTATAAACAAATATTTGTAGACAGTAGACAGAGTGCAAAGGATGCTGAAATAAATATTTTACGTGCAGGTATCTTTATGTACATGGGGTAGGTGGATATGACAGTCTACTGTAGATACAGTACATACAGTATGCACAGCATAGGTAGATGTATTAGAATAGAATATGTTTTCTAAGTAATAAATGGTTTAATTAATAGTCCTAGGGTTATTGTACAGGACAGTTAACTGTTGGTCAGAGTGATGGCCTGTGGGTAGAAACTGTTCCTGTGTCTGTTTGTTTTGGCGTACAGTGCTCTGTAACGCCTACCAGAGGGGAGTAGTTGGAACAGGTTGTGTCCAGGGTGAGATGGATCTGCAGTGATGTTACCTGGCTCTGGACAAGTAAAGGTCCTGAATGGAAGGCAGATTGGCACCAATGATTCTCTCTGCAGTCCTGCCTGTCCGCTGTAGTCTGTTCCTGTCCTGTTTGGTAGACGATCCAAACCAGACAGTGATGGATGAACAGAGAACAGACTGAATGATGGCAGTATAGAACTGGATCAGCAGTTCCTTTGAGCTTCCTGAGCTGTTGCAGGAAGTACATTCTCTGCTTAAATGATCTTAAGATTAAGTTCAGTTAAGATTAAGTGTAAACCTAAGAACATTTTTATAAGTGAGGCCCAGATCTGTACAAGCTACACAAATTTATGAGTTATTGCAAGTTTTCAAACAGTATGTTTTGTTACAAGACTTCAAAGATGAGGACAAAGTGGTTAAGTTGGCAAACAGACTTCTGGTTAATGTTCACACCTCTAATAAAGATCAGCACACAGACACTTCCCTAAGTTCAAACTTTGTTATTGCACAGAGCGCAGAATAAAGACAAAAATATATATGTATGTAATATGTAATGTAATATGTTTGTATTTTATATTTAGGTTCTTCCATTGAAGGTGTACAATGTACAATGAGTTATGTGTGCAGGTCTTTGAAACCTGTTGCTGTGTGTTGCTGCAGATCCCGAAGCGTCTCTACAAGGCTCTGTCTCTGCTGAAGAAGGAGTATGAGCTGAGCAAACTGCAGCAGCGACTGGGCCGAGAGGTCAGAGGTCACGATACTTCACCAAACATAAATGAGCTATAACCAGCTAGTACTCACTGCTTATTGCCCTCAGTCATTCACTTCTCCCCCGGCTCTGCTCACAGGTGGAAGAGAAGATCAAACAGACTCACAGGAAATACTTGCTCCAGGAGCAGCTCAAGATCATTAAGAAGGTAGAGGACTCTGTCACTCTGTCACTGTGTCTGTCAGAACACTGCCTGCAGCAGACGTGAAAATCTGTAAAAGCTTTAGACTTGCAACTAAGGCTGGGAAATATGGCATAAAAATATAATCTCTGATTTTTTTTACACCACATTCAATTTAATCATTTTAAAAAGCAAACAAACTATTAAGTTGAGTTGAGTAGTCAAAATCTAAAGTTTGTTGTTTTTTGGATTATATTGATGCTGAATTGAATTGACATGAAGACTGGGGTTAGTAAGTAACTAAAATTTTCCAATTTTTTTTATTTTTTTATGTGAATGTAAAAACAACAACAAACTGAAAAAACCCAACTGAAAACCAAACTAAAATAGTGAATCAACTGTAACACTAAATTAAAGTGAACATACTCTGAAAGTCAACCGAAACTAAATCTGCAACGATAATACAGGTAATAGTTCACAATCAATCCCAAATAAAATCGTAGTCCTCTTCCATTGGTGGAACAGGTTGAGCTGTTGTGAGGTACATGATTCCAGTGGCTGTTCCAGTGACAACTGAAAACACCCTTTTAAGGTGTTTGGGACCACTGAGAGGGTGAGAGGGTTAGGGTTAGCGCAACATTAACAGTTTGTGTATATTTGCTTGTGATGAATTTTTCTAATTTGTTGCGGATTGGGACAAGCACAGTGTTCATCGGTGAAGGTTTGCACAAGGGAAATGTTACAGGGAGTGACAGGCCAAGCCATCAGACTGTGGATGTCTTGCATCTGCTTCTGGGACTAGATTGCCTGCGTTGTTCCTTTGAAGACAGTAGGTGTTGTACATCTACTTCTGGGAGTTGGTTGCCTGTGTAGTTCCTCAAGGGAGTCCTTCCCAGGGATGTAGTTGACCTTGTAGGGCACTGTAGGCGATGAGGAAGAGGACCCACAGGATGAAGAGGAATTCTGTTGATTCCTGGTTCATGGTGGGGGGGGCACCTTCCTACAGTGGGATCCAAGTAGGATCCCACTGACCTTAACACTGGACTGCTATGTTGGTCCTAAGCAGACCTGTTGAGGTTAGGACCAGCTGGGTTTCAGGGAGTTTTCCTTCTGGAACTCTCTGATGCAGACCCAGTGCCATGGTTGGATGTGACACAGGTTTGTCACTAGGAGGAGACTGGACAGCTTTTATTTGTCTGTGGATTAGCTGAACAGCAGAGGTTAAAACAGAACAAATACATCTTCGACTCATCCATTGCATGGAGATTCAAATTTCCGTACATAGTACTGGGTTACTTGGAAGTGTCATTGTTCTTTGGTGTTCCATGGGGTGGAAATTTGTCCAGACCGAAGTCTTTCAGCAGACATTTTGTTAAAATCAATGTCAGCCTCCTTGCATGTTTGAGGCTTCAGGTTTACACATAAAATTTTTTGCGAACATTTTTTAAATCCATACATTTAGCAAACAAAGTCAATTGCTTTTCAACTTCAAAGGATCCCCGTGGGGAGGATGCGCAGGCACTGTCGTCTGTAGCTTTTCAACACTATCTGACACATCCCCCTTTTGCTCACATGTGACAAGCCATGTGACATGTGAGTAATCCATGGGTCCGGGGAGCTGGGAGCCACAATGCGGCCGTCATTGTGGACTCACAAATTATATTTACATCTTATATTTACAACCATGGTAAATCCACAACCTATGTTCCTCTATATCAGTGGTCCTCTGTAAGAGAACCACATCATTAGGGGAAGAAAGGTTGTTAGTGGGTACCGAACAGGGTTTTATATGAGGAATGACACTTTTGATAGTGGCATGGTCAGCCAACAGTGTCTCATAAAAGAGGGTGGACCATTACATTCAACAACAGCAATTGTCATGTTTCGCAGGTGTCCCAGAGGATCTAATGAATCCTCTGTTTGCCCACAATTTTACCAAAGTTAATTGAACGTCCATGAGCATCTCTGGAATATGTGTAAATGTTAACAGTTTTACCTTTTGCCAGGTGACTCATCAGTATGAATGGGTGGCTCTTTCAATAATTTGAAGAACTATCACAAAGTACATACCCTGTGTATGGCACTCCATTCTCTATAAGCAAATCCATCAGTGTAGGAACAAGATTAGTGTTGGGGAGAAGTTTCTAAATTGTTAGGAAAAGATTTAGATGAAGATAAAAATCCATGTAGTTATGGGGATCTTCAGCATCTCCTGTAGGTAATACTAGCAGGGTTAAGAATAGAAATAGAAAGGATAGAAATGTAAAATCAACTGTAGCTATGGTTTTCAGACAAGGTAGGTATCCTTTTTCTACAGGATCCAGTCTGAGAAAAATAAGAAGCGGGTCTGTAACAAGATTGATGGTGCTGAATGAGAAACGATTCAACATCGTAAATCCACATTCTCATGTACAAAAGGAATTGAAGATTGGTTATAGTCAGGAACTCTACACTGTAAAACCGCATATCTGAATAAAGGAAGTAGGCTAACATAGCTTAATACTCCAAATTGTAGAGTCATTCAATCCCATAAATTAGACCTAACTCAAAATGAATTGTTGAATTAATAACTCTCTAACTTCAGTTAGTCTTATTTTATTCAGATTAATTCTGTTAATACTGTTTAAATAAGTTTGTAGAAATACTGCAAATGAGGGTAGTATACTTAACTAAATGTAACTTAATGTATCCCAATTATTGTAACAAGTTACTTCTACTCAAATTAAGTATTTCATATGATTAAGTTAATAAACTCAAATTGTTTAAGACAATCAGTTTCCTTAAAAGGTTTAAGTTGAATTTACTTATTGGGTTTTACAGTGTAGTGGATGAGTTGACAACAATGCATAGATAAGTGCAAACAAATATTTAAAAAAAAGAATGTACTGTAGAGGTTAATTACAGCATAGTCAATTAAGTTGATTTGTCTTGCATGTATATCTTGGTTTAGTAGAGACTGATATGTTGGCTTTTCTGCTGGAGGTGCCATAGACAGGGTTGATTTA